CGGTGGAACACCCCAGCGGCGGCTAGGGAGAATGGCCCCCGGGACCTGGGATTCCGGGATGGGGAGAACGGGTTCAATGTCCAGACCTCGACCTTCACGGCGATGCGCCTCCTTCAGGCAGTCCGGGTGGCAGCCAGCTTGGTCCGGGGGGGCAACCAAGGGGATCACCCGGCGGGCCAGGCGGGCCCGACAAAGGCGCCCCTGGAGGTCCTGTGTGACAGGCGCCAGCTGGAGGATGCTTACGTGGCCACTCATGGAACCCCGAAGCCGAGGTTGGAGTTCCAAGGGAGTGATGGCTACCTCAAGAAGCAGTGGCGCTTGATTGCCAAGGGTGAGCTGGGCTACATCCCGGCAAAACACATCGTGAGCGCGCTCCCGGAAGAAGGGGAACGCCCCTCATCCACCCATAAGAAGATCACGGTGGACGGCTGGGACAGGGAGGATGAAGAAGAGGTGAGGAGCCACCCCACATCTCGGCGCCAGTTGGAACGTTTGCACCAAACTTTCAGGACGACGCTCCTGATGTGCACGGCGGCGCTGCCACAGTTTGGCAACCTGAAGGTCACCAAGGCGGAGCTGGACGATTGGTATGACTGGTTCTATGGGGAGGACATCGCTGGCAGAAGGCCTCCCCCGAGTGACACCACCTTGCTGTTTGCAGAGCGCAATGCGTGGAGGAAGATCCACGAGATGGTGCACCAGGGCACCACCCTCTCCGAGGCCCTCAAGAATATCAGGGGCGACTTCCTCTTCTGGCAACGGGAGGTCTATGAGCACCTCAACAGGGCGCCGGAGAAGGGGAAGAACAAGGGCAAGGCACCTAAGGTGTGGCAGACTCAGTGGGAGAAGCCGAAGAAGGGGGGGAAAGGCGCCTGGCCCTCGGGGCCGACCCGGTCCAAGCCGAAGGGCAAGGGCGGCAAGGGGAAGTCCCCCAACTCCCCCTCAGTTCCATGGCCGGACCACTGGGCTTTCAAGAATCCCAAAGGGGTGGCGTACTGCAGAGATCATCACCTCCACAACAAGTGCTCGGGATCGTGCGGCCGTTCCCACAACTGCCCGGTCAGGAAGGATGGGTGGGTGTGTGATGCCCCCCCATCGAAGCATGCGCCACAGGCATGCCCTCACCTTCCCAAGTGACAGGAGGCCACCCAGGCCCCGTGGCTTCCCAGTCTCAGTTGGGATCACAGGCCACCAGTGCGAGAGTGCACATAGAGGGGGAGAGCCAGCCCCACCAGAGCCACAGCGCAAGGCAGACAGAGCGGGGGAGGCCAGGACGGCCTCAGATGGGGGGGGACTTCTCCAGGGTGCCACCGGCCCCGGAAGCCCCTCCACCGAAGAAGAGGAGCGGTCCCAGCCAGGGCACTCCAGAAGGAAGCATCCCTTTCCCCCGCACCCACCGAGGCAGTGGGAAGACCCCCCAGAAAGACCCAGAGGTGAGGATCCGCCCAGCAAGGGGCGTTCCAAGGGCGGGAAGAACCGCCAGGGCAAGCATCAAGCCCGGGGACAGATGACGGGGGGATCAGACAAAGGTCACACGGAATCCCTAGGGGGGGCAAGCCCCACCTTCCCATGGATGCAGGACATCCCGGAAAGACTGAGGCTCAGACTGGGGTGGACGCCGAGGCCAGTGCCGGGGAAGGATGATGCGGGGGCCCTGGATGCCTACCTCCATGCCTACAACCCGGCCTTCTCGGAGTACATTTGGGCGGTGGATATCAGGAGAAAGGGTGGAGACCTGGGCCAGGACATGCTGGGCGAGGAGCCTTACTCGACGATGTGCTCCATGGCCATGGCGGGTAAGGTCGCATTGGTGGGAGGTGGCCCCAACTGCAGGACGTGGAGCATCCTCAGGTGGTTCCCCAAACCGGGTGGCCCGCCGCAGACCTTGTGGGGCTTAGAGGACTTGGAGCCCCGGGTTATGGAGGACACGGACAATGACAGCGTGCTCATGCTCCGACAGATTCTCTTCCCCTGGATCCATGGGCGCACCAGGGCATGGAGATTTCGGATCGGCCCACCATCCTGCCGATCACGCACGACCCCAATATCTCCGACAAGGTCATGTACCTCCAGATGGCTTTCAAGCAGCGTCCCTTAAGAGACGGAAAGCCCTCATTGGGACGGTTGGCCCCGTGGGCCCGACCGCTGTCCAAAGCGGGGGCCAAGATCTGTGTCCTCACTTCGCCGTGGGGCTCCAGGAGTCGCTCTCGTTGGGGGATGGGTCACATCCCTTCCCGGAGGACCTGCTGGAGGACATCAGCAAAATTCGGCGCCGGGGGCAGGCCGACGGCCAACCCTTCTTCCTGGACATCTTGCACAGCGTGACTCTGAACATACCCCTGACCTCGCCGGGCATCTGGCCACTCAAGAAGGAGCTGAAAGGGGAGGAGCCGGTTCCAGGAACTCCCCCACCCAACGGGCAGGGATAACTACCCCTCGGCGGATCACTTCAGCGAGCTCATCCGGGGCACATTTCTGGAGGAGGTCCCCATGGGCATGGTGGAGGGCCCCTTCAGTAAGGAGGAGGCAGCATCGCGATGTGGCTGCGACAGCGAGGACCTTTGTCCCGGCCCCCTGGCGGGCATCGACGAGGGGGACAAGATCCGCACGATCTACGATGGCTCGGTGGGAGGGGCCAATGACACCATCAGGAACCAGACGGTGGAGAGGACGACGGCTCCGACGGTGCTGGATGGGGTCCAAGCTCTCCATTGGCTACATGCGGCAGCTGAGGAGGGACCCCCCTCTCAGGGTGCCTCTGGCCGCGAGGGGGGGATCGTCAAACCTCCACCTGGGGGCCTGGCTATGGCCGGAGCCGGGCACCAGGTGGGTGCTGCTCAAGGCGGACGTCACCAAGGCCCACCGGAGAGTGAAGGTCCTCAGGAAGGACTGGTTCCAGGTGGCCTCACTGGAGGAAGAATGGTGGGTGAACAAGGTAGGCACATATGGCATGGCCAGTGCCCAATCCTACTGGGGACGCCTGGCAGCCCTTCTGCTCAGGGTCCTCTACGCGCTTTTCCCTCAAGTGGATTGGAACTTCGTCTTCGTCGACGACTTCCTGAAGCGAGGGGGCAGTGAACTTGGCGGTGGCGCTGCTGGCCACACTCCTGGCATTGGGCACCCCACTTAGCTGGAAGAAGACGCACTTGGCGGAGGTTAACACGTGGCTGGGCTTCGTGGTCCACCCGAACATCCCGCAGGTTCTCATGGCAGCCAACAAACACATCCTGGTTATGGAGGTTTTGCAGACCATGGTGGAAGGGCAGGCGATGCACTCAAAGGACATCGAGAAGGCCCTGGGCCGCATCCAATGGGCAACGGCCGCATGTCCGCTGGCGAAGTCGATGCTCCAGCCACTTTGGGCCTGGAAGATGGCCACCACCACGGTGGGGAAACCCCCTAAGGTGGTCAGGATGCTGGCGTTCATGCTGCGGTTCCTCTTCAACACGCCTTTCGTCCAGTACTCCCCCTACTTGCCGAAGTCCTCTTGGTGGGGTTGCAGCGACGCTAGCGCCTCGGACGACGGACTGGCATTTGTGGGAGGTTGGTGCTCCAACACGGTGGAACCGGACAAGAAGGAGGTGTACTGGTTCCATGAGCAGATCCACGTGGAGGAGTACCCTTGGGCTTTCAAGAATGGGGATCCAAAGCGGAGGATTGCAGCTCTGGAGATGCTGGGCACGCTCTTCCTCTGTAACATGATCCTCACGCACCAAGGCCCTCTGTCCTCCCGGGTCCGACTCCCGGTGGGCAGTGACAATCAGGGCAACGTCATGGCGATGCTCAACCTTGGATCCAAGAAGCCCTACACCGGCGGCGATCCTGATGGAGCTGGTCTTCCTGCTCCACACCCATGGCTGCTCGCTGGCGGCCAACCATGTGCCCCGTGAATTCAATCAATGGGCTGATGAGCTGACGCACCCAGATTTCTCTGGGTTCGACCCTTTGCAAAGGGTCCCCAAGCAGGAACTCTGTGAGGAGTTTGTTTTTCTCCCGCGTCTCCTGAATGGAGATGCATTTGATCTCAGCGTGGGCCCACCCATGCTCCCGTGACCGGAGCCGGTGGGTGACTCACTTCCCCTGGTGGCAGACCCCCCTGTGGCCTGGGTGCCACGGGCCCCGGCTCAGGGGCGGGCGCTATCAGTCTGCACACCCGTTCTTCAGTTTTTGAGAATTGTGAGTTGGGTGGCCCATGGGGCCCACCCAGCGTTGGTCATCTGACAGGGGAAGATGAGTCCCTGGCACCAACACACTGCTCGGATGAAAGAGTTATCGCGTGCTCGTGTGTGGTGCCGTTTGGTTAGCTTGCATACACATTCATTCATTCATTCATTCATTCATTCATTCATTCATTCATTCATTCATTCATTCATTCATTCATTCATTCATTCATTCATTCATTCATTCATTCATTCATTCATTCATTCATTCATTCATTCATTCATTCATTCATTCATTCATTCATTCATTCATTCATTCATTCATTCATTCATTCATTCATTCATTCATTCATTCATTCATTCATTTCATTCATTCATTCATTCATTCATTCATTCATTCATTCATTCATTCATTCATTCATTCATTCATTCATTCATTCATTCATTCATGCATGCACAACCACACACACACACACTTGCATACATGCATTGCATTGCAATGCACTGCAATGCACTGCATTGCATTGCATGCCTTCATCCATCAACAGTACATAGGTACAAGTCTACATGCGTCTATATGTACATACACACACACATATTCTTCCCTCTTTGGCATGTCGTTTGCATTGGCCAGTGAGTGTTGGTGCTTGCCGAGCTCGTGGTTGTGTTTGAGTGACGCGTGTTCGTGCTCGGAACCGTCTAGAGTGTAATCTTTAGTGCCCTCCGAGATTCGTTCTGCTTCAGTACAAGCTGCTTATGTTCTTTTAACAGGACAGGTCCTGCTTGGCTTGGGTGTCGTGCATCAGTTTGCTTTCTTGGCACTTCACTTTTCTGGCTGAGGATCGGTGTGAGGAGTGGAGGTGCATGTACCGGCTGGATTTACCGCGGGAGGACATGGATGTTGTTCTGGTCAATGGGGTGGACTCGGTGAGTGCCGTGACCCTGCATACGTTCGGCCACGTGCGCAACAGCACCGACGATGACTGGATTGATGTCGCCTCTTGGCATGTGAGGTCGCCCAAGTGTCTGAAGGTGTCTGAAGGTATCTGAAGGTGTCTGAAGTCTCTCATTTCTGGGAGCCAAATCACGTGAAGTCAAGCCAAGCCAAGTCACTAAGTTCACAAGTGAAGGGGCTTTCGATGTCCACGCATTCACGCATCGAAGGAATTGCACTTGGTGGCCAACGAGCTGTCCATCTTGGCAGTAGGCACGGAGCCTGCTCGACAAGAGCTGGCCAAGATTTTCAAGGAGGCGAAAGGCGGCGGAGGGAGCATGCAAATCTTCATCAAGACGCTCACGGGAAAGACCGTGACACTGGAAGTGGACCCCGCAGACACGTTGGAATGCATCAAATGCAAACTGCAGGACAAGGAAGGAATACCTCCGGACCAGCAGCGCCTCATTTTTGCCGGCAAGCAGTTGGAGGATCGATGGACCCTGGCAGATTACAATATTCAAAAGGAGTCCACCCTCCACTTGGTGCTTCGACTGCGGGGGCACAACCTGCCAGGTGAGCCGGCGGGGGCCTCCCATGGCCCCACCGATGGCTTCGAGTCTCTGGAGAACCGGGCGACCAAGGGACTGGCCGAGCACGTGCTGTACCAGGAACTTCAACTCAAGAAACAGAGAGAAACAGAGAGAAACAGAGAGAGAGAGAGAGAGACGTCAGATAAGCAGATGGCTTCGCTTTACTAACAAGAGAGAGACTCCGCTCCTCACTTTCTCTGAGGCACCGGACAAGGTCACCATCCGGTCCAAGGAGACCGCCATCGTGCCGATCCTACACCACGCCATCCGGGGGGACCGGGTCTTGGTGTACGACCCCAAAGAGTCGGAGGTCTGCGTGAAGCGGGCCGTCCACCTGACCAACACCTCCGACCACGTGCTCGCCAACGGCAGCGTGAACATCTTGGACGGCGGCCGCTTCGTGGCCCAGTGCCAATTCACCCCCATGATCCCCGGGGATGATCAGCTCATCGAGCTGGGCGAGGACACAACCCTCTCCGTGACGCGGGTCAAGCCGAGCCATTTGCAGCAAGATAAGGTCTTCCAAGTGCGGCTGGAGACGGATGAGCATGGCCATCTCACCAAATTCATTTTGGACCACTGCAATACCGTCGTCACCAACTACCTCATCAAAAACAACGGCGCCAAAGCAGCCCCGTGTCTGTACATCGAGCACACGGCGCGGACAGATTGCGGTGGGTTTTCCATCACCTCAGCTGCACACTGCGTGAAGCAGACAACAGGCGGGCTGTTGGTGCAGTTTTCCCTGCAGTCATAATCATCAAGCAGATTGGACCACTGAATGATTAGGCTGAATGCACTGTGAGCGCTGCATTTGCAACAGAAGGCTTGCTGTTTCCAATTGTTTCCAAGGCCCCACTCCAAAGTGCTCTTGTTTTGCTTCTCTCCGCTCGTGCTTGAACGTCCAAGAAGTCCTGGTTCCTTGATACATGCTTATGTCAGCACAGGCGCCATGCGCCACCTCACTAACGGGTTTCACCTTGCAAGCCCAGTGAGCCAATGAGTGCTCGGGGCGAAGTTGAGGCTGGGCGCGCTTTTGCCTGGCAGTGGATCCCGAAGCCGAGCTGGCGCTGGAGGCGGGGTTTCATGCCGCACGCCGCACGAGCCGCGTCCGAGCCGCGTCCGAGCCGCGTCCGAGCCGTGGCCGAGCCGTTTCGGAGGTCTCCGAGGAGGCGAACTACGAGGAGAGCGTGCCACTCAACGCCGCGGGCATCGGGAAGTTTCTGACCCGGGCCAAGGGCCTGCAGGAGCCCAGTGAACTCGCTCAGATTCCGTTCTGGATTTGCACGCGAATTGTGCAAAATCAGAAAACACCCCAGTTTTCACAATTTTCCAGTAATTGTATGCAAACAGCACTTTCTTTTTTGTAGTTTAAGTGGAGACAATGAAGAACAATATCGAGAAAGATCATCCACAAGGCCCAAACACCAAAGAAGTAACAAAACAAGCAAAACAAGACAAGGAACTATCAAAGTAAACAAGAAAAAAGTCACACAAAACAAACAAGGACCTCGAGAACAAGACTCTTGACAAAACCAACACTTGTCCTCAGAGCTGTTTTTCCCTCGAGGAATTGTTGTGTTGTTGTGTTCCTTGTTTTCTTTTAGCTTGTCCCTGTTTTGGGCAGGCCTGCTATGATTAAGGCATTTTGGAGCTGCAGTGAAGGGGTGTGACCAGTGCTGTTATAAAGCCCCTTTCAAGGCGCTTACAAAGCCCTTAAGATGCTCCTTACAAGGCTCCTTGAAAAGTTCATTATAAGGCTCCTTATCCGCCGACCTGCAAGGGCGAGGCGCACGGGAAGGGTGGTGGTCATAATCATAATCATTCCTGCTGCGGTCCTCACAATCGTCACTATTATCATCAGCATAATTTCAAATTCCGCAAGATATGTAAGAAACCTGTATCCGGCGCTGCTTCATCATCATCATCATCATCATCATCATCATCATCATCATCATCATCATCATCATCATCATCATCATCATCATTGTAGTTATCTTTATCGTTTGCTTGCGCTACTTGCAATGCAAGGGATGCTAGGATGATAGTCATCATCATCATCATCATCATCATCATTAACCCAGTCAAGGCCCGACTTGCGATGCAAAAGATGTCATGATCAATATCACCATTGCAAATTTGATGATCGTCTGCTGCCGAACAATTCGAGAAGTGATTCGCTGACGCATAAAACCTGTCGAGCTTATTCTTCACTTCCACATGGGTTGTACCAACAGAGAGTAGCGTTAGGCACTTGTCTCGTCGTCCTTTCTTACTTATTCAAATTCTTATACGCATTTCAAGTGTGGCGTTAGGCACCATTGGTGACGCAAAGGATGACAAGGGTCAGGAAAGATTCAAAGTTAGGCCCACTCATTTTGCGTTGCTCTCTATGTTTCGTTCTATTTAGCATTAGCCAATGTGTCGGCTTCGTCAAACAACACAGCGAGCCTGTCTCAGACACGTATTCGTAATGCAGAGGATGCTGCAATGATGGTTCTCATCACAGTCATCATCTCATCATCCAGTCCTCATCCTTATCATCGTTATCCTTACTATCATCATCATCATCATCATCATCTCTTATTTAGAACCATTGGTAATGCCGAGGATGCTACGATGATAGTCACTTATCATCATCCATCATTCTTATCATCATCATCAGCATCATCCTCATCATCATCATCATCATCATCATCATCATCATCATCATAGTCATCATCATCACCTTTATCATCATCATCATCATGGTGGTCATCCTCTTTCTTCTATAAGTGTGGGGTTAGGCAGCAGTGTAATGCAGAGGATGTATTTACCTTTGCTCCTTGTGTTGCTCAGTCCTCTGTTCTGTTCAATGCTCTATCTTTTGGGCCTGCGGCCTCTAGCCGGCTACGCCTCTTTGAAGTTATACTATGTCATGTCATATTATTTTTGAGAAACCTATCCTCTGCCATGATATGGCTGGTTAGGTTATGCATGTTGCCCACTCCAGCCCCAGACGATGCCGGGGATGCCAGCTTTCTGGGTTTCAGCCGGGGCCCAACCCAGAAGGTTCACATGGGCCCAAAAAGAACAGCCCGCAAGCCAGCCCGGAAGCGCAAACGCGACAAAACACCACAACAAAAAGCAGCGTTTTGGTCGCGCGCAAACGCGGCAGAAGGCCCGAAAACCAAAGGGAAAAAAGCAAGGAAGCACTTCACGTCTTCTCCACACTTGCCGCCTTTGCCCGCACAGGTTGATATCGTTCTGCGCAGGCTTTAATGTCAAAGCGCATGGAAGGGAGACTTGGACTTCGACAAGCTGACGAGGCAGCGATTCCAAATGCAAGGCCGAGGCAGCTTTCCACAGGGGCGGCAGACACCGTCCTCAAGCATCTCGCTCAAGGCCAGCCTCTTCGACCGTCACCCATCTGCGCCAATGTCACCACCTTCTGGCGCTCTGCCTCAAAGAGCTCCATGATGTCAAGGCGTCCAAAGGCCTGCAACACGACGGGCAAGCCAACAACACGACATGCGACGCAGCGCCCAAAAAAGCGTGGTCAAGCAAGGCGAGAAAGAGAAAGCGTAGCTTGCCGAAAAAAAGCCGATGCCTCCAGGGATTCCAGCATCACATTCTGCACCATGCTCGCCTCCGCCACGGCGACACCCAGGGATGCCGCCGCCCGTGCCTGGCGGTATTCATGATGCCTCTAGGCGTGACAAATTTGCCAAGCTTTCTTGCGGGGTCCCAGCCAAGTTTTCGCCTGGACCCAATGTGTTAAAACCCTCTAGGCCCCGTGCCTAAATTGGGAAGCAGTTCTGAGGTCTGTGTTAGTGTTGCTTACCAGGTTCCATTGATCGCCATTTGGCTCAAGACACAATTGAGGTTCAAGATCAGATGTGTAGCTGCGTTCACACGTGATTGGCATTGAGAGCGGAAAACACTTCGCTTGCGCTGCATTTGTCAGGACCACTGTTGTAACTATTATTCCTTCTCCCTTACAACGTTTACACGGGTTCGGCTATAGCGGCTTTGACTGCATACACCTTTCTACGTGGTTGGTATTACAGCTGGAGGGTTCGGTGCACAGCGTCCCACGGGACGTCACCTTGCCGTCTCTTGACAGGTTATCAGCCGTATCGACAAGCTCTACACTGGACAGAGAGACAGCTGGTTTATTGCGGGAACAGGGACAATAAAGGAACAACAACCTACACAGTACAATGGCATCTTCGGCGAGCCCAAGTACTGCAACTTTTGGGAACAGCAGCTCAGAGGGATCCAATGGATTGATGGCTCTTCCTGCGGTGATGGATATGATCGCAGATTCGCAGGATGAACCTGGGAGCGGAGGGTCTGCGCTATTCAGCGACATATCCACTCCCACAAGATCATGGAAGCAGATCGATGTTCATCAGGAGTCGAAGCAAAGGGAATCCCCACCGAGAAGATCGTCATCTTCGCCTGTGACACCACGGACGTCGCAGAAGGGCGTGAGGTCAACATCAAAAGGTGGGAGGTCAAAGTCACCCACCAGTGCTGAGTTTCGCGCAGCAATCAAAGAAAGGAACAAGATGGAGGTGGAGATCGGGGAATATCAAAAGACACTTGATGAAATGTCGGCAGCGATGGCGAATCTTCATCAAGAAGACTATGGGAGCACCATCCGGATCCAGGAGCTGGAAAGACGATGCGAGATTGCCAGTAAGCAGTCGGGACATCTAGTGAGTCACCACCAACACCACATGGCCGAGGCATGGCGCAAGTTTGAGGAGGAAGCCCAACAGATGCGCAAGTTGGAAATGAACGCATATCAGTACGGGGAAAAGAAGGACATGGAGTCGAATGTTATAATGCAACAGATGCGACAAGCTGAGGGAACTATCATGGAGCAGAAGCGGGAGATTGCAGTGATGAAATCCTACATGGCAAGCGAGAAGTCGGCCGCGCAGGAGTCAGCTACACATGCAAGTCAGATACACCGTGAAGCTTCACAGCAGATATCAGTTTATCAGCAACAGATCAGAGGCATCGAATCGTCTACATCTATCGAGAAGTTCAACGAGGAGGAGATGGTCCAAAGTCTGAGATCACAGTTGGAGCACGCACTCGTCAAACGCCCCGAGACGTACTCTATGGAGGACTCCAGGGAACAGCTGATGGCGAGACTGAACGATGTTACAGTATTCGCGGAAGAAGAATCAAAGAGAGCAGATTGCTTGCTTTGTGAAAAGGAAGAGATCGTTAAACAGTATGAATCCGATGTTTCGATGAAGGACCAGATGATTGCTATCGAGGGCGGTCATCGTCAAGATGCGATCTTGGAGTTAGCCCAGGTCAAAGAAGCAAAACAAGAAGAACGGTGCACGATGGACGAGAAGTCGAAGGAGGCTGAGTACTGGAGATTGACAGCTAAGGGAGTGTATGATGAGTACCTTGAGGAGATGCATGAGCTTCAGGGACAACTGAAGGAAAGGGAGGCAACACTCAAGCAAGAAGAGAGTTTCGTTCGTCAACTCGATGCTGACAATGAGGAACTACGGGCGCTCAAGAAGCTGGAGCTACAGGAAGCCTCTAGTAGCAAAGATGGACATCGTGAACGAGCAGTAGTGAAACGCGCTGAGGGGGGACCCCAAGCTAGTTCAAATAGGGTAGACAAGAAGGTGGCTGGGTTAGTCCCGTCATCGTCTTCGAATCTGACCCCTCATTCGTCGCTTTTGCCAGGTTCGATTCTCTTTCCGTCTTTTGGTGATCCAATGATCGATGTACACCTATCCCAGATGCAAGGGGTTGTCGGACATGTCCCACAATCCACTACTACGACTGGTGGTGGTGATGGAGGGGGAAATAACGGTACTACACCCCCATTGGATTACGGTGGATTCTCCTAATGGAAATAGGCAGGGAGCAAGTCGACGTCAGTTGAGCCTAACAGGTGGCGGAGGAGGGCCTCCGGATGACCCACCCGATGATGAGGACGAGGATGACGACGACGAAGAGGATGAAGAAGACGAGGAAGAAGAAGAGGAAGAAGATGACAATCGAACACGGAGGAGGCGCAGAAGATCGAGGGATGATCGAGAGGTCAAGAGCGAAAGACCGAGGATCTCGAGGAAAGAAGCCGAGAGGGTATCTATTCCTGCTTGGCCAAAGATCCACCAACTTGATAACTGGAAGATGCAGCTGCTGATGAATGTTCTGAGCGCATGCGCAGATCCAGATACCGACACATGGACGAAATGGTTGGAACAGGCTCTTGGGTTGAACC